GTGTAGTGTCACAGCATGGGTGTGCTTAAGTACCCCGACTATCCAGGAGCTCTGGGAGACACAGCGACCAGTAATTGACGGTGATAATTGAAGCTGGTGGTCCAAGAGCAGACTCGGAGGCTGTAGAGCCTTGGCTGTGGAAGCAGAGCCAGAGCTGAGACGACAGGTCCCCACTAGGACTCGTCGCTCAAAATGTGTCTGGCTCCTGTCTATCTCTGGGTCTTGGCGCCCAGAATCAGATGTGGGGACTGTGCCAGGCTGGGAGGGTTAGTGAGAACAGTTCCAAGTCATGATGACTCCGGGGAACAGAGCTCAGACCAGAGATAGGAGGAGTGGGAGAGGTGGAGGGCACTGAGGAAGAGGGGGACACTGAGAAAGAGGGGCACTGAGGAAGGGGGCACTGAGAAAGAGGGGGCACTGCGGAAGAGGGGGCATTGAGGAAGGGGGCATTGAGGATGGGGGGAACTGAGGAAGGGGGGGCATTGAGGAAGAGGGGGACAGTGAGGAAGGGGGACATTGAGGAAGGGGAGCATTGAGGAAGGGGGACATTGAGGAAGAGGTGGGCATTGAGGAAGAGGTGGGCATTGAGGAAGAGGTGGGCATTGAGGAAGAGGGGGCACTGAAGAAGAGGGGGGCATTGAGGATGGGGGTTACTGAGCAAGGGGACAGAGAAGAAAGGAACACCGGAAGAGAATGGAGTCGAATATTTCTAAGCAGAAAGTCACAGCTTGCACTCTGACCTGGGACCCCTAGAAGCTCACTGTACTGGGGTGTAGGCAGGCCAGTGTACACCCTGGGCATGGGTGCCCATCTACTGACCAGGCTTATTTTCTGAACACTGAGACCGGAAGTTCAGAACTTGTCACCTCTCTGGTCCCCATGCCCACACCCCCGCAGGTGGAAGGACGTTGGTTTACCATCCAGCTAGCCACCAGTCACAGGGACCTGGTCTTGCCCACTGACCCGCTGAGACTTTCCCTCTACTCCATTCAGACAAGAGACAGTGGGGATGTGGACTTTGTGCTGTTTGAGAAGTGAGTGCCTGCGGTAACGCTTATCTCCTGCCCAGAGCCCTGAGGGGTTAGCATGGGTGGCCAGAGGGACCGTAGTACCATGCCAGGCTGAAGGCTATGGCTTGCAAGTGCATGCCCCAAGGCTTATGAGAAAGAGATGGCAGAAAAGGCACAGAGCTGCCAGGCCTGACTGACATGCCCTCCAAGATGCATAACATGTGGTCTAACCTCCAGCCATGGAGGAAATCGCAAAATAAATTATTGTTATTTAAAAGTACTGAAGTCACCTGAGCTTAGTGGCACAGATCTTTAATCCCAGCACTTGTGAAGTAGAAGCAGGATGGCCAGGAGTTTACAGTCATCCTTAGCTATATAATGAGTCCAAGACCAGAGTGGGCCCCATGAAATAGGAGCTTTGTCTGTATTGAACAAGAACAGTTAGAGACAAACAGGTCAGGATTGTGAGCCCAAGACCCAACTCTGAGGACAGTCTGGTCTCAGCCTCTTCTGGAAGCCTGGTTTCATCCATGATGAGCAGGGCCATCATCCGTCCCCTGTGAGTTTCAGAACCCGTTCCTCTCCTTACAGTGACCAGCATACCATACTCTCTCTCCATCTGTCTGACCCCAGTGAAGGCTGCTCCCAAACACTGGGAGCTGAGAACTGGGGAGGATTTCAGGCCTCTCAGCCAAGGTCCCCTCCAGGGTTCCTCTGTGCTTGGAGCCAGTCACCCTGTCAAGCAAAACTACATATAAATTCCTCTTCACTCTAGAGGAGAGGGAGTATGCACAGGGATCAATGTTACTGTCCATCCAGCGGGGCTCCCAGGCCAGTACCAAGGAACATGTGAGTACTTCCTGGGGAACCCGGGTGCCATGCTGAAGAGGGAGGTCCAGCTGGGGGTTACAGATGCCCTTCACAGAGCCCAACACCTGGAAGAGCTACCAGCTTTGGGCAGACTGCGCAATCCTCCCAGTGGTGTCACGGTCTCTGGGGGGAGGTGGAGTCCTGGGGATAAAGGGCAGAGGCATTTCCTGTCACCCGGTTTTCCACAGTTGAGGGAGGCAGCATGAACGTCCATTTCGTCAGCACCGACTACAACAACCTCATTCTTTATGTCCGCTTTGAGGACAGCGAGGTCACAAACCTGTGGGCACTTCTGGGTAGGTGATGGCTCTCCCCTGCCCTGGCTGCTGTGTCTAGGTCTTCTGGGAGGTGTTGGTCACTCCCTAGTCTGATCAGAGACTTTCTGTCCAGAAGCAGAGTTTCATGATGGCTGTTAAGGACTGTGGGCAGCTCAAAGTGACACCCAAGCTCCCACCATACAGGAA